CAGTGTAAGATATGACCAAATAATAATTTATAAATTATCAAGGGTTCATCAGGGAGGGGGAGGGGAGGGGAAAAAATGTGGAGCTGATGCCAAGGGCTTAAGTGGAGAGCAAATGTTTTGAGAATGATGATGGCAATGAATGTAAAAATGTGCTTGACACATGGATGGATGTGTGGATTGTGATAAGAGTTGTATGAGTACCTAATAAAATGATTTTTAAAAATTTTTACCCAATTTCCCTTCAGATTTCTCATTGCTGGCATATAGAAACCCAACGGATTATTGACTTCATATCTTGAAATTTGCTAAATCGCTATTAGTGCTAATGTGCTCCTGCGGACTCTTTTTTTTTTTTTTTTAACTATTTTATTGGGGGCTCGTACAACTCTATCACAATCCGTGCATACATCCATTGGAGGAGGTTATATGTAGATCCTTGTAATCCGTTCCCCCTTTCCTGCTGACTCTTTAGAACTTTCCACATGTAGGATCGTGCTATCCATTAAAATAGATCATCTCCATAGTAGATCACCGGGCCTTTCTTCCAGGGGCCTCTTGTGGAATATTAGCAGTCGAGCACGTAACTACTTACACCACCCAGGGATGTCCACGTGATGTCAGGGGGTAGCAAAAAGAGACCTGGGAAACATTTTATAATTAATGATGTCTAACAACCTGCCTATTTCTCTAAAATAAATTTAGGTAGTTTGTTAAACACAACATAAAAATTGTAATCATCATTTGAAAGAGATGAAATGAGCCTTGTGAGAAGGTATAGTGTATTACTATCAGCGAGTTGAGTTTGTTTTTTAATTTTCTTGTGAATTGAGTCATGGTTTACAGAGCAAATCCTTTTTCCATTCCACAAGTCATACACAGTTTGTTTCACGTCCCTGATTGCAGTCCTCACCGTGTGACATCACTCATCCAACTGCTACCCTGTGTTTTCATCCCGTGGTTTTGTTTTGTTCTTTAATCATTTTATTGGGGCTCGTACAGCTCTTATCACAATCCATCCATCCATCCATCCATTGTTGCCATCATGCTTTTCAAAACATTTTCTTTCTACTTGACCCTTTGGAATCAGCTTCTCATTACACACACACACACACACACACACACACACACACACATCCGCCTCCCTGCTCTCCCACCCTCCTTTCCTCATGAACCCTTGATATTATTTTTTCATGTCTTTCACAGAATCCCTCATGTCTTAACTCTTTTTACCTTTGGAATGCTGTCTGTCCTTCGGCAAGTGTTGCCTTTTTATCTCAAATGGCTGGTTGTTGTAAGGAATGTGTACTTCTCTATGACTGTTTTCCACTCTGTTACATTTGTCTCTTGCTTCGCTGAAAAATGAGCCGCGAGGGCGAGTTCGGCTGCAGACCTGAAAAATGACTAAGCACCAGGGTCTCGACAGGCCACCACTTTCTGCCTGAGCCTAGCCTTTTTTTTGTTTTTTTAGGGATTTTGCTTTTAGCTTCTTCATTTTGTTTCCCGCTCCATCCAAGCTCTTTGCATGCCATCTTTTTCAGACTGACAGGTAGCGGTGGGTCAGCACTCTGTGGTTCTGCTCTTGGGTTCGTGGCAGTGGTGTTCGTGTGATCTATTGGGATGGATTGTTTGGATGTGTCTTTGCTTCCCTGCACTCTTCTTTGCTCTGGATGGGAGGAGACCGTAGTTGGCCTTAGATGGCTACTCACAGTCTACTAACTGAGGGCTTCGGTGTTGTTTCCCCCCTTCTTTTAAACTTTTTATTGTGAATTAGGTGGGGGATTTACATTTCAGATCATAGTTTTTTTTATTCTACACCTTACACATTTTCTCAAACCTCCAGTAACTTACCTAGCCCTTCCCTTCCCCAACCACCTGCCTCTCATTTTTCCTCTTATAGAAGGTTATCTTGCCCTTCACCCAAGTTAACACCTATCTGCTCTCTAGCCTCTTGCTTCCCTGTCCTCCCACCCATGAAAATTCACCAAACTGCCTGCCATGGAGTCCAGGCTGACTCATAGCAACCCTGTAAAATGGAGAAGGAACAGTCTCGGGGAGGAGACGAGCCAGTCAGGGTGCAGTGTAGCAATGATGAAACATACAACTTTCCTCTAGTTCCTAAATGTTTCCTCCCCCCAC